ATTAGTCTGATGGTGGTAGGAATAATGAATTGGAGAAGGGCAGAAAGTAGAGGCAAGAAGACTTTGATTTAGTCATATTCCTAATAATTTTCCATGTCAATATTTTGAGTTTGTTTCCAAATGTTATTCTTGGATAGAGTTGGAAGGAATATAAACCTACTGAGAGAATATATTGTTTAGGGTTTTTTTGTGACATTGTGTCTCGTACAATACCAATAACCCATATTTCATTTGATCATAGATTTCAATCTAAAAGGGACCTTATGGGGTTACTAAGTCACCCCTGAACCCTCCCCCCTGCATTTTGATGAAAGAACTGCGGAAGAGAGAAATTAAATGACTTGTCTAGGGTCACTCAGCTAGGAAATATCTGAAAAAAAGGATTTGAATCCAAGTTCTCCTGACTACATGTTGTCTCTCACTTTATGCAGTGTCTCTCTTTAGCAGTTAAAGGCTTACTAAGTGTTTTTCTTTCAACACCCCTGGGAGGCAGTGAAAGTATAATTATCTGCATTTTATAGATGAAGAAATTAAGGCTCAGACAAGGTAAGTGATTTGGTCATGGTAACAAAGAAGTCACAGCCAGGACTTAAATTTAGTTCCCTTCTAGGGGTGGGTAACCTGGGGCCTTGAGGCCAAACTTCACAAAACAGTTTGGATTCACAGAACAGTTTGGATTCAGTCAAAGGACTGCCCTTGAGGACCTAGAGGGCCACATATAGCCTCAAGGTCCCAGTTTCCCCACCCCTGATAACCTTAAGTCTTGTGATATAGCCATTGCATTATACTATAGTCAGGGGAGCACTTCGTGATTGTTAGCTACCATATTTTACTGCATAATCATCACAAATTTTATGCCAATTTTTTTTCAAAAAAGTGGAGTGCGACCATTATGTGAAGCTTTTAAAAGTTGTGCTGGTATTACTTCAAAATCATTTATTATTAAACTGTCTTTGTTGCAAGATTAGAATGCATGGAATATTTGTGAATATATGTTAAAATTGAATACTGACGATGTATGAGCACTGAGAATTCTAGGCTCTTGGCTTGCAATGCACGAGAGATAAATGTCTATCCATATACCACTGGTGAATTCATTGCTGCCCTGTTTACCTTTTAAGTGGCTTGACAAACAGAATTACAATACCATGTGATGATTACACAATGAAAGGTTATAAACCAATTTTTGGAATGAAAAAGCAAGGCACAGCAATTATGTGGTGGTGACAATTATGCAGTGAAATCTAGTATCTGGCTTTTACTTAAAGTTTGGCTTTTAGAACCAAAAGCTTGCCAAGAGACAGTACAATTCACTTCCAATAGCCCAGGTGAGTAATATTAAAATAGCTCAATATTTTGAGAATAGAGATTAAACGGACAATTTAAGCACATAGATTATCAAAAAAAAAAATGACTTTAGCCATCAACCCTTAGCTTCAATTTTAGCTTTCAATTTAAAACTCTTTAGATTTTACAGACCCTCAAAACTTTAAACAAAAAAATATAACAAGTAACAAAGTGGACTCATTTCAGTTTCATTGGCTTTTCTAATCATGGAAACCCTGAAAAGTTGGGCATAAGGGTTGGGGGCTGTATAGACCACAAGGTAGCTAGATGGTACAGGATAGATAGAGTATAGAACCTGGAGTTAGAAAGACTCATCTTCATGAGTTCTAATCTGGCCTCAGGTATTTACTAGCTGTGTGACACTGGGCAAGTCACTTAAGCCTGTTTGCTTCAGTTCTTCATCTGTAAAATGAGTGAAAGAAGGAAATGGCAAACCACTCCAGTGTCTTTGCCAAGAAAACCTCAAATGGGGTCAAAAGAGTCGGACATGACTGAATAACAACAATAAACCACAAACAATAATAAACCCAGCAAAAATGCAAGAAAAAGATCTTGTAATCCCCCCCACCAATAAGCTATCAGACCTCAGTTGAAAGCTCTATATAATTCTTCAGGTTTTGAATAATTCACTTTTATTTTCCTGCTAGGATAGGACCTAGGATTCTAAAGGGTAGAACCATTAAGGGTTCTAAAATTTAGGCCTTTAGCTCTTTAATGTCAGGAACTGGGTGACAGCTGGGTAGTGATTGCTTCTTGACACAGGTAGGCAAAAATAGCCCTAATACAAAAAATTTAGCTTAATTCCTGGCCCCACTGTAGCACCTTAGCTATTATCTGCCCAGGACAGTTGGAATTCCAAAGGCCTTCATGAGCACCCTATGACAGTTCCTAAAAACGGTGTATATCTGTGAGCCTTGAATAATCATTTCTCCAATGTTTGGCAAGAAAATGGATGCAATGTGCCTTTCCACATGGATACGGGAAGGAAATATTCCATAATAAGATATGGTAGCTTTATAAGGAAGTTTTGTTTGACCTATCCATGGAAAACAGACAGAAAAGGTCAGATGATAAAGAAGGAAAAAAGGGGTTTTTTCCCCCCCTTGAAGCCATCATTTTTTTTTTGTTTTTGTTTTTTGGCTTTTTTTAGTTTGGCTAGGCAATGGGGTTAAGTGACTTGCCCAGGGTCACACAGCTAGTGAGTATCAAGTGTCTGAGGCTGAATTTGAACTCAGGTCCTCCTGACTCCAGGGTTGGTGCTCTCTCCACTGTGCCGCCTAGCTGCCCCCATCATTTTTCTTAATTAAAAGAAGTTTTTAAAATGTTGAACATTCACATAACACTTTTTAAAGCCTCTTTGCAGATGTTGAGACAAGAGAGTCTTCTAAGAAGTTGACATACTAGTATCAATGAGATACATTTTCTGTTTTTCCAAATATTTGAGTTATAAAGAAGTCTAGGATTATGCCTCTCAGGCTTAACAATGAGAGGAATCACATATGTTTACATATTATAAAGGAAAAAAATGCTGAAATTCCAAGGCAATATAATAATGGAAATTCATTTTATATAGCCACCAACATAGTTTTTGTGTGTAGGAAAAAGTTTTAAATATGATTTTTAATCTTTTTAAGATTCCTGAATTTATTAATATTTCCTTAAATCCCATCATATGAAAAAACCATAACCACGCAGAATAAAGGATATATTTCAATGAGTGTATATTTTGTCTTTTAGTTTAAATTACAATTCTTTGATGCTGTAATAAGCTAAACTCAGAATAATAATAATAGGTGGGACTTATATAACACCTTAAGTTTTGCAAAGCAGTTTACAAATATTGTCTCCCATTTTATACTCACAATAATCTTGGGGAGGCAGGTTCTGTTATTATCCTTATTTTGCAGATGAAGACAATTGAGGCAGATAGACATTCAATGACCTTCCCAGGTTCACACAGCTGGTAAATGTCTAAGGCTGATTTGAACTCAAGTCTTTCTGACTCCAGGTCCAGCACTCTACCCATTTTGCTGCCCCACAAGTGCTAGAGAAGGTTGAGGTGAAAGGGCATTCCAAAGGGAATAGATACAACTAAGAACAGAGTAGTGTGATGATGATTCACATTCACTCTAGAAGAGTGTAAATTAGCTTCTTCAAGTCACCAGGTGCCATTTAGAACAATAAGCAATGCTTGGCAGCTGTGTTACTAGAAAGAGGTTTTGTTGTTGTTATTGTTGTTGTCGTCGTCGTTGTCGCTGTTGTTTTTTAAAGATAAGTTTCTCTCTTGCCCAAGGTGGAAGTGCAGCGGCACTCGGGGTCCCACTCACACTATTGTATGTCATGGAAGCATTGATCTCCTGCTTCTAATCCTGACTGGTTCATCTATATTTAGGCAATTTGGTGATACCCTGATATGGGGGATTCATGATGGGGTTTTTTTCTTAATTTTAAAAAATTTTTTACCCAGTTACACATACAGACAATTTTTAACATTCACTAAAAATATTTTTTTGTTCTGAATTCTCTCTCTCCCTCTCTCACTTACCCCCTCCCCAAAAGTAAGCAATTTAATATAGGTTATATATGTTCAGTCATGCAAAACATATTACCACATTAGTTATGTTGGACTCATCCCGTTTAATACCAAATTTAGTGCATAAATCAGATTGGCTTAGCCCATTGTAGTTTGTAACTCCTGATTTCAGTTGATCCACTTGCCTTGGCCTTCCTGGGTACAGGGACTTTAGGAGTGTGTCACCATGCCCAATGTGAATAGAAAGAGTTAAGACAATCTATGAAGTTGTCTCACATCCAGTTTTATAATGAGAGAATGTGCCTCCATAAAAAAATGTTTATTTTAATGTGATAAACACTCACAAGATGTCTCCTTTTGCAAAAATACTAGCTTTGGTGATAGCATGTTTATGAAGTTTTCTTTCAAAACTTAAATATTTTATTTTACTTTTTCTGTTTCCTTTATTTTTACAAGTCAGAAATATGAAGTTCTAATTCTTTTTTCCCATTTTCTTCCAGAGCATTATTCATATTTTGTCTTATTCTCAGAATAACATCTCCTAAAATAAAACAGACAAAAGCATTTTGGTTTCGCAATTCCCAAACCTGCAGAGTCCTGGGAATTGTGGATGTGGTAATGGACCAGAAATTAAAATCTGCACTGGAAAAAAATGCTGAAAACATAGGAACCTAGGAAGATAAATTGATAATATATGTGAATTAGTTTGGGAATCTGCTGTAAAAGCTATCTTTAAACTATCTACCTTTCTGTTTGGTTAGGCAGTCCTACCAGGTAAGGAGTAGCTTTAAAGAGCTGGGCTTGCTCAAAATACATACATACTGCTGAAATGAAGATAAGTTGTCGTTTCCACTAGGGTTATCCCTTTCTTAGAGGTTTATATGTCAGTAAAAATGAAAGAAATCACCATCTACTTAATTGGTGGAAACTCTTGGCTTCGTAGTGCAAAATTCATTACTGTTCAGATGTTTAATAAGAAAATGTCCTCCCAGCACTCCAAATGGCTTCTGTGCCCATTGCATACAATTTTCTTTTCAAACCATTGATGTGAAATGATTCTATTGACACTAGCTCTTGAAGTAAAACCTTTGGTTTAAGGAAATCATGTCCAACGTTTATCTCAGTTGTCTGAATTTATAAATTTTTATTTATTCTTCATCTATTTTGTATGTGAGTAGAAAAACACAAAGTCAGATCAAACACATGCATAGAATAAAGCTATGGCGTTTAGACCACTTCACAGGGTGTAAGGGGGAGCAGGGGTTTTTGCTTTAATTTGCAATGAAAGTCTCTGATGTAGTTTCCCATCCATAGGCATAGCTGTGAATATGCTTAGTCACTTTTTCAGGGTGCCTAACAATTGTGTTTCTGCCTCAATTTTCTAAGTCTTTGATTTTGTCCGTGTAATTCCTGAATCTGTTTTCTCTCCTCTCCTCTGCTCTATTCTCTCTTCTCTTTTTTCACTATCTTTAGTGGTTGGGTTAACTTTGAGACCAATGGCAGTGACCTGCCTGCTTTGATTTGTGGGTATAGCAGCACCTCTTGGTCATTTGGGGCAAGTATAGGAGGAAAGGAGCTCAGCTGTTAAATTGCTTGAACTGGCCCAGTTTTTATCTCGAGTCAGGTTATGATTCCAATAGTGCCAAGATACCTTATATAGCCTTTCTGAGAGTAAGGGGGGGTCCTCTGTCATTTGAAGTCAATACAGATCACACATCTACCTATTGATCATATTAATCGGGGTCCATCATGTCCAGTGAAAATAGCTTCTGGGATGGAGCAAGGAACTAGGCCACTAGCAGCACCTCTTTGTGCCTCCCATATGGATGGGACATGATTCCAAAGGATTAGCTAACAATTATATGCTCTGAACTGATCAATTCAGTCAATTTACTGTGCAAAGTAAATTGATCCTTCAGAACAAAGGGCTTTGTCAGCAGGGAGCTACCTGAGAAAGCAGCATGCCTGTGTAAACAGTTCTGTCCTTGCCCCAGTGTGGAGTGGCCCTGCGCCATATGGTGCCACTATGAACTTATTAGCTGACGGATTAACTGATCTCAGCATTTGGGATCCCCAGTTTCCAGCTGTGAGAATGATTGATGGGCTAACTACTGCTCCAGTCTTGGAAGTTATTTCCTCCATTTAACAGAGTCAAGAAGACAGAAAATTGCCCCCTTTGTAAATGCTAATCTCACCACTCCTTCGAACACCCAACATAGCAATTTATTCAAGGCAAAGTCTTAAAATTGGTATAGTGCACATCAAATGCATACTAATTAGCAATTTCTTTTGAAGGCTCCATCACTTATTAAGGGTCTCCTTTTCCATATGTTCATCATGCCCCACTTCACCCTTTAATTACAAAACAGCACTTTCTACTAATTGTGAGAAGGTATATTGTGCCCAGAATCTCTATTAAATGCTATACCTTCTAAGGCCTAATTTAGGGTCATGTAGAAGGCACACAGATAAGTAGGCAAAAAAGCTCATAACTGTCATCAGCAATTTTAGGCATATATGGACGCTGTTCAGGAGGGACATCCCACCAAAGATGGCAAATATGGAGCTCTTATCAGTGGTCATGACTATAACATTTGGCAGGAAAATAGGGATATTGTTAGCAAATGGGATCTCTCCAATGTGGAAGGAACCTACATTAATAAAAAAAAAAAGGATGACTTAATGATATGATTTGTGATACACCATTTCATAACCTGTACATTAAGGGGCACTATGGTTTCAATGAAGCTAATACTTTGTCACTGATTTATACTCCTGGTATCTTAAACTGATATACTCTAGCTGTATTAAAGCAAAAAGAAATTTGCAAAAGACACCTGAGTAATAAATATTCCTTATCTTGTCAGTGTTGATGTTTCTTCTTAACCGAAGTTCAATGCTTTTATGCCTTTATGATACCTAGGTAACTCTAACCTTGATTCCAGTTATATACCTGTCATTTATGGGCTATCATCATCAACATCACTGCAGTACAGGAGGATGAAGACATGGTCAGCCTCTTTTCACGGTCCTTTATTGCTGCAGAATCTTATAGATAATTTAGTGATGGTTTTTTGCTAGATGTTCTTGGCAACAGGAGGAAAGACTGCTGAAGGTCCACTGGCCACGTCTGCTGCTCAATGTTACTTGAGCCAAAGGATTCTGGAAGAAAGAAGAGATTCCCAAAATTTGAAATTCAGAACTAATCCATTTGGGGGATTATTCTGTTCTTCCACTATGTGTCTCTAATGTGGAAGGAACTTCCATTGGTCAAGAGCAAACTTGGCTTCACCAGACAAACAGAAAATGAGAGCCTGTGAATATCAGGAGCAAGAGAGATAGTAATTTACCTACAATAATTCAGATGAAATCTGCCTCCAGTTAGAAGGAGGGGATAGATTGGTTCTTAAGATCCAACTCACCTGGGATTTTTAGGCAAGGGGACCACCATGTTGTTAGAGGAGATACACAGAAGGTGACTTGTATTTCATGCTACCTTTGCTCTGTGACAAATTACTGAAGATGCTTCCTATTAATAAGTCTGTTATTCTTTGGGGCACTGTCCTTCATCTTTCTGGCCTGCCCAATATTCCTTTTCAGAGACTGCACCTGTTGAACTGTTTCTCAGCACCTTTGATCTGCTTTCCTGTTGTCATTTCCAAGTTTTGGTCTCACATTTTTATAGTTAGTGCTTCTATGTATTCCCACAAAGTTTTATGATTTTCTATATTATTCTCACATTATATCCATCACATTTTCATTTAATCGGTTTTCATTATCAATGTCACAGATATATGTAGGGAAAAAATTCACATGCTTATCATTTTCCTAAAAAGAACATCCACAAATGGTCATTAATGGAAAGATAAGTACCTTAGGTACACTGTTATATGTAGGTAGCTGTGAATTATTCCAACTGCCATGGAAAATAATTTAGAATTAAACAAACAAAATGAATAAATCAATTAATACCTGATAAATAATCAATTAATACAATTAATATCAATCACTACTGGACATATACTCCAAAGGAGGGAAGAACAAAAAAAATGGTCCAACATACATTAAAATATTCATACCAGTATTATTTTTAGTAGACAAGATTAGAAACAAAATAGGTGGGTGCTCATGATCTTGGGAATGTCAAATTGTCAATCAATGGTAATTTGGTAATGGAATGGTATACAATGGCAAACAGCACATGATGGTAAATACAATGGTAAGGGGAAGTTATCATGAGTAAAGAAAAGATGAACATGTAGAATACAGAGAAATGTGGGAAGATTTGTATGAATTGATGCACCATGAAATAAGCAAAACCAGAAAACAAACAAACTATACAATGTCTAAGATGGTGGAAATTAAAAGAACACTGAAAGGAAGATGAACTGTGAGTAACTAGAGTAACCAATCTTGGCCCCAGAGAACAGATAAAAGATACTTCTCTCTTTTCAGCAGAGGAGCCCCTGGTGGCAGAATGCCTCATACATTCTCAGAGGTGGTCATTGTATCAATTGTTCTGCTAAATCATTTTTCTTTGTTACAAGGGAGTGAGTATTCAGTTCCTAGGGAATACATAGGTTATCAAGGAATGACTGTGATACAAAAAACAAAGGCATTCATCAAACTTTTCTTAGTCATCATAACTAAAAGGACCATAGGAATTAGAGATGGGGAAGACTTAAAGATCTTGTCCAACTTCATATCTTTATGGATGGAGAAACCAAGATTCATAGAGATTAGGTGACTTTCTTTAGATCACACAGGTGGTTGAGAGCAGAGATGAGATTCCAATCTTGATTCCCTGACTGCAAATCTAGGGACCTATCCACTAAATTGGGTGACACCATAGTGCACAGAGCTCTGGGCCTGAAATCAGAATCATCTTCCTGAGTTTAAGTCTGTCCTCAGACACTTACTAGCTGAGTGACCCTGTCATTTGACCCTGTTTACCTCAGTTTCTCATCTGTAAAATGAGCTAGAGAAGAAAATGGCAAACCACTCCAGTATTTTTGCCAAGAAACCCCCAAAAGGGGTCATGAAATTACTGAACAACATCTACTAAACCACATTATTGTCCACCTAAGAGAAGACTGAATGGGAACATGGTAACTTTCTTCCAGTATTTGAAGGGCTGTCATTTGGAAGAGGGATTAGAATTATTGTCTTTGGCTTCAGAAGGTAGAGCCAAGAGCAATGGTTGAAATGACAAAGAAGCAATTATGAGCCTGATATCCAGGGAAAATACTACCCCAAATCAGAGCTGTTCTAATGTGTCAAGGAGGACCCTAAGAGCTAGTATGGTGACTTTTCCTTCTGTGAAGGTATCCAAGTAGAGGCTAGACAATCTAAGTGCTCTGTAGCTACTCATATAATGTTGAGAGATCCAGAGAAGGGGGAATTTATTGGCGGATGTGAACAAATGTTGGGCAGGTTGAGAAGGTAGATGAGCTAGATATGTTCCTCTGGATGGAATGCCCACATTTATGAACTAGTATAATCTGAATAGCTAGCATTTATATAGCACTTTAGGGTCTGCAAAATGCTTGTTGATTATCTCATTTATCTCATTTGATCCTCATAAGAATCCTGTAAGGTAGGTGTTACTATTGTTTTATTTTACAGATGAGGAAATTGAGGCTGAAAAGGTTAAATGCTTTGCCCAATGTCACATAGCTAAAAAGTGTCTAAGATAGGAATTGAACTCAGTTCTTCCTGACTCCTGATCTGGCCCTCTTACCCACTGTGACACCTAGCCTCCATTTGCAGATCCTTTGATGTATTGAACCTGACTGGAGAGGGGAAGGAAGCAAGGTGACCCATTGGGAAATTATTATAATATTCCTGGGGAGAATGGAGAAGAGCCTAGATTAAAGGATACGGGTGACACAGCTGTGATTCATACTAGCTTTAAAAAAAAAAAAAGACATGCTGAACCTTACAAACACTCCCTTCAACCACTATTAGAAAAATGTGGGCGGCTGCCCTCCTCCTCCCCTTCCCCTCAGCTTTCACTTCACAGAAGCCTTGGATATACAAGGAAATGCTACCTCTATATGGCAGAGAGACAGGGTCTGACTCAGGAAATAAAAGCAACTTGGGCTTTTGTATGTAATTGTTTGCCTTCTATGTATCAATTTAGGGGGAAATTCAGAGAGAAGCCTTTCTCTAAGATCAGGATTGTGGAGCAAGCTCCAGCATTTGACAGGTTTCATAGGCAGACCACTTAGAGGTATTATATTAGCTGCAGGAATGGCCTGGACCTAAAACATTCATAGTCTGGAACAGCATAGGTAAAGGAGGCAGCAGTACCCAAATCTGGACTCTGAAGAGTGGCACCTGGGCATACTGTTCCCTCATGGAGACAGTCATTAATTGTAGAAATCCATGAACAGGAAACTGATCAATGCCAATACCATTTTGCAGCAGTACAGTAAAGTACTGTATGAGAGAGAATGAAAGCTGGGAGAGGCCTCCAATGCATCAAGCGTTAGGAGGGACCAATGAGAGGATCCTGGGATCACTTCCTTGCATTTAACTTTATCTCCTAGGTTGGAGCTATTACCCAAGGGAAAAATGGGTTAAAAAATACCATTAATACCTTAAGTTTAAAAAAATACCATTAATCTTGCCTGTATAGGGTTGTAGAGACTACTAATGCATAGGCCAGGGATATGTGGAAACCAGTGGAACCCACCAGAGCTCATATATACATACATACACACACACACACACATATACATATATGTAAGTATGTATATGTGTATGTATGTATGTATGTATGTATGTATGTATGTATGTATGTATGTGTATGTATACCTTTCAACTCAGCTGGGTGACTGAAGTCTTCCTTTTATCCCTTAAGACATGTCCATGCTAGAGTTCTGTTCAAAGTTGCTCCTGATTCTTTCCTCTGGGGCTAAACAGAACAATTTCAATCCTTCTTCCACACTACAGGCCTTCAGCTATTTGAATATAATTATCTATTTGGTCTTCTCCAGGTTGAACATTTCCAGTCCCTTTAACTGACCCTCATATGCAACAGATTTAAAGCCCTTTGGACAATCTCTGGCTTACCAATATCCTTAAACAAAGGTGCTGAGACCTGAACATAATACTCCAGCTGAAGTCTGAGGAGCTCAAGAGTACAATGGGATCATCACCTCCTAATTCCCAGAGACTATGTCTGTCTTGGGCAACTAGGTGTTGAAGTGGATAGAGTGCTGGGCCTGGAGTCAGGAAGACATCTTACTGAGTTCAAATCCAGCCTCAGACACTAACTAATTGTGTGACCCTGGGTAAGTCACTTAACCTTGTTGGCCTCAGTTTCCTCATATGTGAAATGAGCTGGAGAAGGAAGTAGCAAATCAGTATCTTTGCCAACAAAATCCCAAACAAATTTGTGAAGAGTCAGACATGACTGAAAAACAACAACAAAATGTCTTTTAAGCAGGCCAAGATTGCATGAGCTTTTTGGAGCTTCCACATGACATTGATGACAGTTCTTTAAGAAAATGGAACTGCCTCATCCAGTATAACCAATGCATCTTTAGAGCATACTTTCTTTTTTTTTATTAATTTATTTTGAATTATCAACAATCACTTCCATAAGTTTTTGAGTTTTAAATTTTTCTCCCCCTCCTTCCCCACCTCCCTCTTCTATATGGCTCACAATGTGATATAGGCTATACATGCACATTCCTATTAAACATATTTTCACATTAGTGGTGTTGTAAGTAAAAATTAGAACCAATAGGAGAAACCACCAGAAAGAGGAAACAAAACACAACAGAAGAAAACAAAATAGCAAATAGTATGTAGAGCATACTTTCTAAGACAAAATATAAGAAACATGGTCTGAAAAAGGATATTTCTTTTGCAAAGGAGCAAGGCAGCCCAAAAGCTCATACAGCTTGGTCACTCCTAAAATAATGCATTGTTGATGTGCCTATTTTCTTTGTCCAGACCTGTGATTTAATTACTTGTGGATGTCCTTAGAGACAAAACTCATTGATCTGCAATCTATAGTCTTAGTAGCCTGGGGCACAAAAAAAGGTTAAGTGACTTGTTGAGGGTGATGCAGCTAATAAGTGTCAAAAGCAGTATTTGAACCCAGGTCTTCCTGACTCCATTGCTAGCCCGCTATCCACTACACTACACAG